AGTATAGCTCCACTGACTTCAGTGCAATGACTCCTAATTTACAACAGCGCAAGTGAGAATCAGAGCCAAGGATTCATGTAACTGATTTCAGGAATGATAACGGTGATGCTTTCTAGGCTCTAGCAGCATGTCTTGCCTTTCCACACTCATAGCAAGGGGCGTTTTTTTACAGGCAGGACCAGCTCCAGGGTTTTTGCCGCCCCAAGCAGCGGAAAAAAAAAAAAAGCCCGTGATCGTGATCGCAATCGCAATCGGCGGCACTCCAGTGGCAGCTCCACTGCGCCGCTTTCTTCTTGGGCGGGCATTCGGCGGCAGGTGCTTCACTCCGAGAGGGACCCACTGCCATATTGCCGCCAAAAAGCCCAACGTGCCGCCCCTTCCCCTTGGCCGCCCCAAGCACCTGCTTGCTGGGCTGGTGCCTGGAGCCGGCCCTGTTTACAGGGCATCCTGTGTAGCTGACTATATGTGATATAGCTCCATATGACTTAGGTGGATGTAATGGAGGATGCTGAGAGGCACAGTGCTTGTTAGATATCTGAACTGCATTACATGTAGCACCATCGTGTCTGCCAGTCTCTTTTGCGACACTGCTCACTAGGGCTGCTCCTACGGTTTCTAGTACAGATTGCTGAACCTACCTTCTAAGTCCTCTTTGCCACAGATTCCACATCCCTCTGTCAAAGTAGCCTCACTCTGAAGTCTAATGCAGTGCTCCAGCCTGCCTCCTGGAAACCCTGAGCAGCTGTGGCCAGGAGTCCCTATGAACATAAACTCCCAAGTTGCTGAGGGAGGCTAGATCCTCTGCATAAATGGCCATGAGAGCCTATAGATCTGCCAGATTTGGAGATGAGTCCAATGGCCTACTCCAGAGCTGCGTGACACCCAGCCCCCAATGAAAAGATTGGTGAGGAGCTCTTTGAGGGCATTCAAATGGAGATTTCTTCCTCCAGAGCTCTCTAATGTGGGTTTTACTGCAGGAGGGGATGATCCTGGCAGTTGTGAAACTCCTATTCTTCCAAGTGGGAATGTTTTTAAATATTGTGAAGGTCTTTCTTTCACAAAACATTTAACATATTATTGTTCACCCTCCACCTGTGGGAATTAGCAGTATGCAGGAATTGTTCACTAGCAGATCTGTCTTAGCAGATCAACACCCTTTTAAGATCTGGGTTCTTATCTCCTCCCATGAACACTTGTCTATCTTTTTTCTGCTGTCAGAATCTCAGTTAAATTTCCAATGAGATTAGAAGAGAGGCCCTAGAAATGATAAATGCTATTTAAAATAATGGGAGAAATATTGAGAAGACAGTGCTATCAAAATATATCTACCCTGCCTATTCTGCTAGGATTTGGTTATACTAAAGGTTACTTTTTTGTGGATAAGAATAACACGTCACTGGCTTTTCAAATTATATGAAAGCATAATAGTTGCATTCTTTTCAGTCTCTTCTGAGTATCAGTGTTTCATTTTCTTCCAAATGAGTTCCTTGTAAAAATGTCACATCCCAATGCTACTCAAAGGCTACTTAATATTCTTCTTTTCTCAACAGAGCTATGGATTCCCGACATCTGAGGTTTCTTTAATCAGCTCTGATGATAGCCTGTCTCCCATACTGTTTTCCTTACTACATTAAAAGAAAATACACCAAAAGTGTATTGTCCAGCTATACTGAAAGAAGAACAGGAAACATTTGATATGGTTTTAATCAGGCCACAACTTTATTATTAGATGTCTGGGACTACCCAGCAGATAAAACTGTACAGTACAGGTAACCCCATGTTTATTCCATAATTATCTGGGGGGCTTCCACCAGCTCCACCTCTTTTTCCATCCAGGTCCTTCCAGCAAATCCATTGCTGGGACCTTACCATCCACGCACACCTATAGAAGGTTAAGGTGAGCTATAATAATGGGAGGTTGGCTCCCTGGTGGACCAATGATAGAAGTCCCCAACTTTCCCCTGACCCCTTCGTTCCTTTAACCAACACCCTTTTAAGTCCTTTTCCAAGCTGTTTATCCAGTCACTGTATACCTTTCCTATGCAATACCTGCACTGGACATCCACCCCACACTTATATGATAAGTTGCGACATATAGCCTGCCACCCTTCCTGCCACACATGAACAGAGCCCTTCCTGAAACCACTATGGGGAAGGAGAGAAAACCCCGACTGCACTGAGGCCAATCTGGCGGTAAAGGAAAAATTCCTTCCCAGCACCGCTAAAAAAGGGGCGGCCAGTGCAATGCCCGCAGCTAGTCTTGAGCAAACCTGGTATTTCACCACCTAAAGGGGAGGGACCATGGGTACTGCCTCAGCCTGCTCTGTGTAAAAGGGGGCCACGCACAGGGCTGCCCCTTTTAAATCCTTCCTCCCATCCAGTTCCCAGGGAATGAGTCAGTGTCGCCATGCTGGCCCCTTGTTCCCTTTTGCAACAGTATGACCTCTCCCCCACCAGCACCCCCAACCATAAAGCACCGTTTCTTTCATTCTGCTAGCCAACCAAATTCCCTCCTGGTTAAAGGTGCATTGCCGTCAGTCTGTACATTTCTTATCTAAGTGAAACAACAAGGTTTAGTATGTAAAGTTTTTTTTCTGGAGTTTCTAAAAACAACATACACACACACACACACACACACAAGTTTCAGAGTGGTAGCCGTGTTAGTCTGTATCAGCAAAAACAACGAAGAGTCCTTGTGGCACCTTAGAGACTAACACATTTATTTGAGCATAAGCTTTCGTGCGCTAGAACCCACTTCATCAGATGCATGGAGTGGAAAATACAGGAGCAGGTATAAATACATGAAAAGATGTGAATTGCCTTACCAAGTGTGAGGTCAGTCTAACGAGACAATTCAATTGACAGCAGGATACCAAGGGAGGAAAAATAACTTTTGAAGTGGTAAGAGAGTGGACCATTTCAGACAGTTGCTACTTACATGTGTAAACAATATTCACAGAACTAAGGGTTTTGCAGAATCAGGCCTGATGATAATAAAAACAGAGGTAAAAGAATGAGGATTGTCCAGATATCTTACACAGTAATGCATTTTCTTACTTTGTCTCTCTTGTGACACTTCATAGTTTTGAAAGAGGAAAATAAAAGATAATGACTGTGATTTTATTATTATTATTATTATTATTATTATTTAAACTAATTCAATATAGTGGAACTAACAGAACAATAAGCAATTGATTATGGACTGTCTATTAGTCCTTCATCCCCTGGCTTGAAATTAAATGTTAGTGATAGTCCCCAAAAAAGAAATAGAGCTGGTCAGAAAACTGGAATTTTATTTTTGAAAATTGTATTCATTCCAAACAGGAACAAAAATATCCAAATTTTTGAAACTTCCTGTGAATCAAAAATTCCAAAACATCTTGATTCAGAGCTGTTGAAACATTTTGCTAATTCAGAGCTGTTAACTCAGGGTTGTTGAATCATGTTTTGATAATGTTGAACCAATATAAAAAATTGTTAATAAATATAATGTATGTCATATAATATATATTAAAGTTAATATTTTAATCTGATATAAACATCAAATCAAAATGCTAAATTAAATCAAAATATTTTGACATTGAAACAAGAAAGCAGAAATGGCTCATTTTGACATTCTCCTGCCTATATTTTGTCAAAATCAAAATGTTTAATCAAAATGTGATTTCAACAAAACTGCATTTTCAGAGAGAAAATTTCAGTCAAAACATTTTTGACCAGCTGTAAAGTAAAATGATCACTCATATATCCACTCATCTACAAGTTTCAAAGTGCTAAGTTTAAAATCATGAATGGAAATGTCCATCATAAATTAATTATAAATTAATCTTCAATGGAATGGCCTTCATCCCTCTCAATGCAGGTCTCAGGTTTATGAAAGGCAAATACTGCAATTTACAACATATCTGATATTCGTTAGCACAGGGGTGGCCAACCTGAGCCTGAGAAGGAGCCAGAATTTACCAATGTACATTTCCAAAGAGCCACAGTAATACAGCAGCCCCCACACCAGAACCCCCACTCCACTCCCAGAGCCTCCCACCTCTCCCAGCCCTGCTGATCAGCGCCTCCCCCTCCCTCCCTGCACTTCCCAATCAGCTGTTTCATGGCATGCAGGAGGCCCCTGGGGGGGAAGGAGCGAGGGCATGGCAGGCTCAGGGGAGGGGGTGGGAAGGAGTGGAGTGGGGGCAGGAAAATGCCCACCCCACAGTAGGTTGGTAGTGTCCTGTGCCTCAGTTTCCCACCTTGCGGTGTAAAAGTCCGATGAAAGAATGTCTCTAACATACCACTCCCTTTTCCATACATTATACCCCACTCACAGTTGCTTGTCCTTATCAAAGAACTAGAGTTCAAAGATGCATTCACATGGCCCCACCTCCCACACCTGAAAGGGGGCAGTGCCAAGCAATACCTCCACTGCTGCCACCACCTCTGCAACCGGCTCATTGTTATCTCTGCCTCTGCCCACTGCCACTTCTGCAATACTACATTCTGAGGTTCCCCTATGTAGCACACCTCTTAGTGATTTCACTGGGTAGCAGGGAACCTCCATATGGCTACCTCTTTGTTGTGTTTCACTACCATGCTGTCCCACTACCAGCTCTAAGGAATAGGCCCCTAGACCTGCTCATCAGTGATTTCAGCTCTGGTAATCACTGAACAGAAACAAGGATGCTCAAATGAATGCAATCAGCTCTGTCTTCAAACATTGAAAAGAGAAAAAGGTCAAATGGCCTCCAGCACCCTCTAAACAAATCCACACCAACAGGTAGGAACACCTGCCTCTCATCTTCAGTAGACATGGGCATCTTTACCCTCTGCTTAGCAAGTGAGGTTCAGTTTAGAATGACATCCTCATTCAGGTAAGTACAGTTCTGCTGCCCTTTACACATACAATAAGGATAACATCATTTCAATACCCCTGCAATCAAATTTTAAAATGTTTTCAAAACTAATGTTAAAAAATTATATAGCACACGGGTTAAGAAAAGAGTGTCTGTACATCTGGGTATAGTGCTTAGATTATCCACAAATACAAAGTTTGTTTTTAAAGTCATAAGCTACATATAGTGCCTAATCAGCAATAACCCAAATTTAGGTGAATAAATTTAAGAATACAGTTTAGGTATTAGCATCCAAGTACATCACTCACGAAAAATTATAGAGAGAGTTGGTTGTGGAAAGCAAATATAGCAATGAGTGAAGAGTGTCCCTCAGTAATTGAGAATTTAGGGTAGGTTGTCCATTTAGAAAATACAATCAATGAGGAACGTATTTCAATTACTTTCCCGACTTCAGCTCATCCCTCCTGGTATTGCCGATGTCCGGTGATGTGATCTATGTAGATGTTCCTTGACCACCCGATGGCATCCGACAACATGAGTTGCCACATCAGCCAAGCGTAGCGCTGACCGATTCCGCATTCTCTCAGCACTCGCTCGTTACTGGGGTCCCATGCGCCTAGGACTCCAATGATCAGCACGTGTGTCTGAACCTGGTAACTCTTAGCTCTCAAAGCTTTGGCCAGAGGGATGTATTTCTCCACCTTTCGATCTCGGGCATTGTGGAAGGCCGGGGTCCTGTTCTTGAAGGGAATTGTAATCCAAAACCAGCCAAATTGATCACCTTGGCAAAGCAGGTCCGTCTGCCACACACCTAGGCAAAATAGGTGTGTTTATGTAAATACAGTCTGCTCCTTAAGTCTTTTCCCCCCAGTGTGCCATTAAATGTCAGGGGAGAGCTCATTCAGACTCTGCTTACATCATATAGAAATAGATTATAGAACTAAACACAAACAGACTTCTTCCTTTTGTTGAAGAATCAAATCACATTGGGCTGAATTCTGGTTTATACTAAGGTTCCTTTACACCTCTCTGGCAATATAAAGGGCCTTAGTGTTATTTAAAATATGCCCACTACCTGTTTAAATGTGGCATGGCCAAAACAGTAACTGTAAAACATGGCAGTTACCTCATTTTCTACTCCTTACACCCTGTTTAATTATACAAACCAACTTATTCTTCTATCAGCATGGCAGAGACATTATAGCAATAAGACATAGTCTGCTTTATTTATAATTAGAATAATTGGAAAGCAAATTCTCGATTTAAGAGATTTTTTATACAGTTTGATGGTTGTTGTTGATAGTACCTGATGAAGATGAACTCATCTTGATTTTCAGATCCAAAGTTACGCTTGCAGTGCTAGAATTAGACAAATCTTGTTTCGTTATTTTGTCCTATAAAGTGAAAAAAATTGACACACAAATTCCGAAGGTTAAATATGAAACAATAAGATGTCATTTTTACTGAGCAACTTTTGTAATTATAAACATACTTTGTCTGATTTTCATCAAATGTTGTATCCATATAGAATTTTTCATGGATGGGGAAAAGGCTCTTTGTTTTGAGCCTTGTATCTAAAATATTTAATTATCTTTTCTGTGCCAGTGCCAAACATTTGTATTGTATTCATGTGACTCCATCTGGTGGCTAATTTAACAATTCCAAATACGATGTCAGCATTTTTTTGTAATACTCTGTGTAGCTCAGTGGCTAGGCTACTAGACTATGATCTGGCATGTTAGAGGTTCACAGCTTGACGAGGTGGCTGTTTTCATTTATTAAAATCTCATTTTCCTCTTTGATACCAAAGACTACATTTTGATAAACTACTTTACCTGAGTCAAATGAAACATAAGTGCAATCTAATCTGTTTTTCATTCAAAAGAACCCAACTGTGTCAGAAAATAATTCACTAAAGGTTCATTATCTACACAAAACCAAAGCCCTCTTATGTATCTATTTATGTGGACCTTAACACAGTCCTATATAAATGCCCCACAAACATTCCTAAATTCATCCTCCTAACACCCCTGTGAGGTAGCAAAGTGTTATTCCCATTTTAATGGTAGGGAACTGAAGCTTAGAGCTAGAACTGAGGGCTTGATTCTAATTTACCCTAAGGTCATTTTATACCACCTTGGTCATGTAAGGAGGTTAACTGAGTGAATTGAGAAGAGTGCTTATGATTTTGCTTTACCTTGTAAGGACAGATTAACACATTTTTACCTCTTTTTTATAAATACAAGTACTATTTCATAAAGGAAGAACTGTCATTTTTTCAAAATATTGTACAGCTATGCTCATTATGCAGTTTCAAGGCCTTATTCATTTATAATAAAGCATATACAAGTAGGACACCTTGGTTTCGATTTTTTTATACATGAATCATACCTATTGTCGATCCTATTAAATGCAGACATGCACACCCTGACTGGAATGGAGTCACAACAATGACGCAAATTGAACATAAGCATATTGTATACTCTGCTGTCTGGTATAGACAGTTCCAACTATATGTGCCCATAACACGCTCTGCTTTGTTATTGTCTGACCTGTATTGGACCTGCTGTGTCTTTGCATTGGAGGCCAGACTGAAAATGAAAGCTGCAAGCACAAAGAACAAGGATGCCTGTGTAGCTTCGCATACAGGATCAGAGTATTGAAACACCTTTCCACCCAACAGTGTTCCACGTAAGACTTGATCTATAGCAAAGAAAGTGTGCATGAAGTGTTGCCCTTAGACACAACCAAGTCATGTTGTGCCCATTCACAACTTCAAGCCAGGAACACCTGCACAACTTTGGGGATGCACCTGATAGTCTGGTTTTCAAAAGCTGTGTGCCAACAATTTTAGGCTTAGTAACATCCACTCAAGTCTCACTTGCAAGTGACAACAGCTAGCAGGTCTTTGGGGGAAAATGGGGGGGGATGATCAGCTAATAATATTATTTGGCCAGATTCTTAGCAGGTGTAAATTGGTGTAGCTCCGTCAAAGCAGTAAATTCACAGATATACAACAGCTGAGAATCTTGCCCATTGGCTCCCATGATTCTGTGGAAAAATCCTGTGACTATAAATCCTAATGTAATAAGTGTATGGTAACAATGGGTACATCTACGCTGGAACTGGAGATGTAATTTCAGCTCAGGTAAACATACCTGAGCTAGTTGTTGATTGAGCTAGCATGCTAAAAATATAGTGTTGCTTTAGCAGCACGTATGAGGGGATGGGCTAGCTACCTGAGTACATACCTTGGGTCCTGAGGAGGATTGTACCTGAGTGGCTAGTCCATCTCACTGTTGGCACTGCCATAGCTACACTTCTATTTTTAGCACACTACTTCGATCAGAGTTAGCAGGGTATTACATATTCCAACTCCAGTGTGGACACGCCAAATAACTATGGGAGTGAATGGCCATAATAATAAGGGCACATAGCATATCACTTGTATGGAATGGACACACTTTCATTTACCAGCATGGAATCTATATCATTAACAATAATTTATCCATCCATGTTCTTAGAGAACCCATGCCACATTTTAGCTTACAGATTATACAAAAGAAGGAGCCACAACAGCATGTAGAATCTAACTGACCAGAGCATCCTGAAAGAGAAGAATACCAGATACTCTGTTGCTGGAGAGCCTACTGCTGTACCTAAATAATATTGTAGGAACATAAGCCAAAAAAAATGGCAGTGTGAAATATTCTTTGATTTTACTGAAGTGAAACAAAATGCTGCATCAAATAAAAATAAACAGACAAATCAATAATTTAAAGACTAATTTAAATGAGCAAAGGATAAAAGAACCAGAGGGTGTGCTGGTTATTGTGTGCTGTAGGGACTCAGCCCTGCAAAATGTGCAGTACTCTCATTTCCCTGGCAATGGAGGGTGCTTAGCAACCTACAGAATCAGGCCCTTGACTTGTGCACTGTGTTTTCGTGAAGCCTTCTCCTCTTGGTCATGCAGAAAGCTAGTAACATCATGAGGGTTTCATTCTCTTTGTTTTTTGTACTGGTTTTCAACCAATCATTTCTAATCTTTTAAGTCAGATTCAGCCCTCAGACATGCAGTTGCAGTGGTGAAGGATGGGTACATACGTACATCCAAGAACAGAATCTGGTCTTTTCTCATTAATGACCATCTTTTCATGGGCACTCTTGTGGATGACAATTTATTCACACAGGTTTAGCTGTCATAAGGTTTGCAATTGTAGCGAAGAATTATAGCTACAAGCAATGTTTTCTTTGTTATGTGTTTGCTAATACAGGGATTCTCAACCTGGGGAGAGTATAGGGTTGCGTTCACCCTTGCTTTCTTTATGGCTACTTAGGAAAGTGACTCACAACACTTTTTTTCTATCGTCACATGGAGTCATGGTGTGGGAAAGGTTAAAATTACTGTATTCCTATATTGGTGAATTCTGTGAATGGGCGTGGCTTGCAATCATGATCAAGGAGGGACTTTTAAAAAAGGATGTTAAAGTGTTGTTGTTTTTTTTAAATGCTTGGTTTGATAATGAAACCCAGTTCTTGTAGTATTACACAATGCAGTTATGCCTGGTAAAATCCTTAGCAATCAAACAGATTATGCAAAGGGAAGGTCAGGTGGTAACAACAACCCCCATTATATATATTTTTTATATAGCCAGTATGTTCCTGCGGCCTGCGCCACTTCCCGCAGCTCCCATTGGCTGGGAATGGCGAACCACAGCCACTGGGAGCTGTGGGTGGCTGTGCAAATGTAAACAAACTGTCTGGCAGCCTGCCAGCAGATTACCCTGAGGGGCCACATGTGGTCCGCGGGCTGCAAGTTGTCCACCACTGGTCTAGAAAGCCCCAGACTTGTACTGGGGGACTCTTATATGTGCTGGTGTAATGTCTTCCAGACAGAGTTGCCAACCTGTAGGTTCATTCTGGGGAAACAGTCTCCAAATTGAACAGTACGGTTGTGATGCTGGTAAAGTAAAAACTGTGTATACCAGTAATAACAAGTATTGTGTGGCGGCTGAAGATGCCCACTTCTGGTATGGACCCAGGAAACTTTATTTTAATTGGCCTATGTTCTATTTCACACCTACATTTCCCATGGTAATAAATTAAAAGATTTTTATATTTTGTATCATTTTTTATAATGTAATAAAAAGAAATTTAAAATAGCAGAAGGATGCTTTAAAGGCATAGCAGGCTTATAATGTGAAATTACACCCTGGTGGGCTATACAATAAGAGGTCAGCTTGTACGCCCTGGTTCATACTTTGAGTCTAGTATTAATGGTGGTTCAAATGATTACAGCTACTGTGGTCTTGGGAATGTATTGCTGGGTAGTGAATTTAAAAAAGAAAGCACAGAAAAACAGGAATATAATGCAAATATAAAAAAGAAAAACAAAAGCAGTGGAATGTAGGCCTGTCTTGACATGAGTAAAATTGACATGGGTGAGGCCTCCTTTCCTGGGAGACAGGATTAGGGAGGTAAATGGAGCCACAGGCTGGAAACAGAATGTTTGTACTAGCTAAGATAAGAGGGAACATCCAGAGAACCATTTACAATGGACAAGATAAAAATGGATACAATGAGCCTGGAATGTAAAATGAGGTAAAGAGTAAATTGTGCACGGACAGTGCATGCTGTACAGGTATTGTTTCCTACAAAGTGACCAAGCCAATCCCAAAACATGTGATGCAAAGTATAGTGAATGCAATGTAATGTGTAAATGTATATCAAAGAAGAGGTTTGCTGTGTAACTTTGGTTGTGTGGTATGCCTATTCCCACCCCATATGCTTGAGTCTGATCAACTCAGGGTAGCTTTGCTGAGTGATGAGAGTGGAGTCAAACTGAGCTCCTGGGGACCCAAGTAGAAGGAGTCTCGGGGAACAATAACAGTTCTGAACTGTTGGTCAGAGTAACATAGAATTACGATGCCACATATGTGGGGAAGATCCGGTTATTTCAGGTTGGAATCAGTCATACTGATCTAATTCCTAAACAGGAGTAGTTAATTCTGTTTGAAATATGATTTAATATTTGGAGAAATCACATTTGGACATAAAAACTAACATACAAGTCATAGGATGTTTATAAGATGTGCTTTTCATTATCTCTCAGTGAAGAGAAACTGACAAACATTGTTTTGATGTGTTAAGCAGGGTGACATTAAAGGTGACTAATAGAGTATGCTGCCATTACAAAGTTTCTTACTGAAAGCAACAGACTATCCTTTTAAGAATACCCATCTGAAGAACACCCACCTACAGCAAAACTTCAAAGGAAGGGTAGAAAATATGTTTCAGGCCAGGATTTTGGAAGTGAATCAAAGAAATATGGATTGCATTAAACCACTAAGAAGCTTAAGGAAAAACAAACAAGCAAACAAAATGGATTCAATTG